AGCTGCTAGCAGGGCTCTGGACTTAAATGATTATTTCTGCCTTAGAGGACAAATTTAATTAAAATGTGTTACATAGCTCAAACAGTAGCTCCTTCATTAAAACTCTAACGGGTGTTTTCCTGTCTTCAGGTCGCAGAGGTTTAGGGCAAGTTGACCCACCGAAAACTCCTGCTGTTCCTTCGCCAAGCCTCTCTCGTGAGTAACCCGCCAATCCTGTTCCGCTCTATGTCCTTTGCAAACACTACTTCCTATTAACTATACTAACTATAGAAATCCCTTCTACTAAATTAACTGTAACACGATGACCCTGAACTAACGATTCTTCTTCTGACTAACATGGAAACTTCTCAATCTCTTTTTTTCTCCTTTCTGTCTCTGGAGGATGAGCTTCTCAGTAAGTGCTGAATGTAATGTGTTTTTCCTTCACTGTCATAATTACAGAACGTTGTCTCGACGTTTATGTCCTCTGTCTGACACCGCTCCTCCTCCTCCTCCTCCTCCTCCTCAGCTCCCGAAGCCCCCGACAAACCCACAGTCTCCACTGCAACAGAAACTTCGGCATACGTGACTTGGATTCCTCGCGGTAACCGCGGCTTCCCCATCCAGTCATTTCGGGTGGAGTACAAGAAGGTGAAGAAGGCCGGAGAGGACTGGGTGACGGCGGTGGAAAACATCCCCCCATCGCGGCTCTCCGTGGAGATCACGGGCTTGGAGAAAGGTCGGCCACCTTCTTCATATACAGCGTTATTATTCACAGCAGTTAATTCTGACTTGGCATGTCAGACCGTATAATTACAATGATGATGTCCTGCATAATTACATTCCCACGGCCTGTAAATTCATCAGCATAATGAGTGTTGTTCCAGTCATTTCGGTAATTGCTGCCATCAATCAAAACCATAACCGAAAACATGGAGCGATGTGAAGACAAACATCATTAGTCAACACAATATTGAGCTTCATTGAGCTGTCCCCAGGGACAGATTAGTAACGGTGGTCCCTCTCCCTGTAGGTACGTCCTACAAGTTCCGTGTTGTGGCGGTGAACGTAATCGGTTCCAGTCCTCCCAGTGCCCCTTCGAAGGCCTACACGGTGGTGGGTGGGAGAACCCATGAACGCCCTGTTGATGGACCCTACATCACCTACAATGAAGCCATCAATGAGACGACCGTCATTCTCAAATGGACGGTGAGTGACTGGAAGAAAAACACACAAAAATGTGTTTTTATTAATTGGGGTTGCAGTGCTATGTTTTTCCAGTTCACTGTGATGGTAACATGACTTCTCCCTCTCAACAGTACACTGCCGTAAACAACACCCCCATCTACGGTTTCTACATCTACTACCGGCCAACAGACAGCGATAATGACAGTGACTATAAGAAGGACGTGGTGGAGGGAGACAGATACTGGCATTCAATCACTGATCTCCAGCCTGAGACCGCCTACGACATCAAGATGCAGAGCTTCAACGAGAAGGGCGAGAGTGAATTTGGCAACGTGGTGATCCTTGAAACGAAAGGTGAGGTCATATTTTATTTTATTTTCCTGCACTCTTGGATGGAAGTTCTTAATATTTGCCACAAACAAAGGTCACTGTGACCTCAAAAAACCAATTTTTGGCCATAACTCAAGAATTTCTATGCTGATTATGACAATTTCAAACAAACGTCTAATAGGATAAAATGATGAAGTGATGACATTTTGGACAGACGTGGATGTAAACTGCAAATTGACTGGTTGCGTCATGTCTGAGCTGTCTTCTTTTTTTTTTTTTCTTTAAACAGATTTTCAACTTTTTGTCTCCTCAGCTCGTCCTAATCACCACCGGCCTGCTCCATCAGAGACCCCAGACCACGAGAGGCAACACCCCAGCGGACTCGTGCCGCGGCCGGGCGACCTCCCCTACCTCATAGTCGGTATTGTCCTGGGAGCCTTCGTCTTCATCATCGTCGCCTTCATACCCTTCTGCCTTTGGAGGGCTTGGGCCAAACAGAGTGAGTGCTCCTCACAGTTCCTCTTTGCAGTCGTTAAAGTCTTTGCCTCTATATCTGTGTAATGTTCTCTTTGTGCTTTCAGAGCAAATGGCCGACTTGTGCTTTCCTGTCGTGGCCGCCCCCGGTTCCTCATGCCAGTACACCATGGTTCCCCTCCAGGGACTTGCTCTGGTCGGCCACTGCCCGCTGGACGGCCACGTGGCGGCGCCACATGGCGTCTACCCTGCTAATGGAGAATACACTCCGAACAGCAAACCTCACCACCCCACACACTGCCTGCCAGGGTGGCAACAGGTAAAAACTAAAACAGTTCAATATATAACCAAAGGCCATACATGTACATGTATGTTGGGTTTCTGTTGATCACTGGCAGCAGTTGGTACTGGCAGTTTTTACTGCAGGAATTCTGTCGCGTACTATTTTTTTCTATTGTACATTCTGTAATGTAAAGTTGACTTTTAGATGGTATGTTGCCAGAAATGCTCACATTTGACACTCAACAAAAAAAGTCGAGTGGTTTATAGTAAAAGCAACGTTATCCATTTGGCTAACTGTGTGATGTATGGGTCAACTGTAATAAGCTGTCCATGTAATGCTTTGAACATATGATCTATATGATATTGTGTTTTGCAGGAGGAGGTGGACTGTGATATGGAGTGTGACACGTTGTTGCCCCAGACGATGTTAAATGGACATCTACCTGTTTTCCACTACTCCACCAGGTATGTTTACATATTATACCACTCGCATATACCATATGTACTGTAATGGACTGGAGGGACATGAGTACATCATTTGTAAAAATGCTCTAGGTAACAGTGAATCATAAAAATAGTGACTAAATATTCGTATTTAAAGACTTTGTTGGTCTGCATTCAAATGATTAATTTCATTAAAATGTATCCTTACTGAATCATCTGTCAAAAATCAGCAGAAAATGTATTTATTTTGTTGTCGTAATTAATTAGGCAAAAAGGCAAAACGTGCTGGTTCCTGCTTTTAAATATATTTTTCATATCCTATGTTTGTAAATGTATCATTGTAAATAAAATACGTGATGCGTTCAGGCACAGTATTGAGTGTAGGTCACCCGGGTTTTGCCAGCGCTCGTAGCCCAAAACTCACTCACTGTGGTTTTGCATGTAAAACAGAAGAAATAGACTTGAAGCCTAAAAATACACTAAACCCTCCCCTGTAAAACATGTCACCGTTGTTCATAAGTTACAGCCCTAATAGAAACTTGTCGTCCTTAGTGGTCCAGATCATCATGAACAGAGTTGCTGTCCTCCTGATGACTCCACTCTTCAGCTCCTCGACTCCTCCCATCAGCACCTCGGTTCACAGGAACTGGGAGGTGATGGCAACTTCAGTGTTGGCGGTAAAGCAGAGGATGGCTTCACTTACAGTATGTGTGGCTTCTTTCATTTGACTGAAGTACTCTTTCGTGGGTTAATGGTCCATTTGGAACGTAGCTTTTCTTAAATGTGATAATCCTGCAGTGCATCCAAATATGTTGATATTAATGCGAAACATTTGACATTTTAAATCTCTGTTGTTCAGCTCTGCATTTTTCTTACCGGCTCTCTTTCCCTCCTCCTCTCAGCAGAGCCAGCATCCTTTCCTCTTCTCTCTCTCGAAGACGAAGGGATTTTCACCACATCATCTTCAGCGGCCACAACGCCACAATCCCCAGACATAACGATACAGGAAGTCAACATCCTCCCAAATGAGGCGTCCCCCGAGGACAGAGGCACAGCCAACACAACGGATGCATGAGACTCTTCCACAAACGGAAGAGAAACAAGAGAAAATATTTATTTTTGTATCACAGATATTTATATATTTATGCTTTTGTACATACTGATTATACTGTATATTAGGTTATTTTCACATTGAAAAGGATTCTCGCTGGACTGTCTGCATTTCCCGGGGAGGAAAATAAATCGGAGACGTTATTCCTTGTGTGAAGAAGATGAGTCCGGGGACCTTAAAGCCTGCAGGGGATTCCTCTCAGTTCAGCACTTCATGTCTAGACCTTGCGTCATTCCTCACAGATATCCTCCATCCTAAATGTTTGGACCTTAGCTTTATGTACAACAAACAAAAGGGACCACTCAAACCAGTCTGATGCAGTAGTTTGAGGTGCTTCGCCGCTGTTTCGTTCTGTTGCTTTATCACGTTTTCAAAAATACAATTTTTGTCATTTTGTACAGCGATAACACAAATGTATTATGCATTGTTCATTAACAAAATATTAACAAGTGTATGCAGCATAAGTCATTCTTTTTCTGTAGTGTACAAGAGATTATATATTGTATAGTTATTTATTATTTTATGTTTTTTTAAGTCACTGAATGGGAGAGATTCTGGAAAAAAACTATCTTAAACTCAGTCATTGATAAGCTGAACTTTATACTGCAACCACTTCTGTGTTTACTCATGTGCTGGTTACCAAACGACTGCCAGGTGAGGGCGCTGTGACTGCTGTGTCAGTATTACTCCTCCCTCACAGGTTGGTGCATTAAGTATTAGTCTTAGCCAGAGACATCTGCAATGAAAATGAAGGAGATCCTGAATCTACACCCCCCCCCCCCCCCCCCCCCTCCCCCCCCCCTCCCTCATCAGTGTAGCTGTTCTGTGGTTGCACATGCTGGAGCACTATTGCATGTAAATAAAAGCTTATGAAATTGAAAAAAAGTGTTTGGTGCATCTTTTTCATCTTTGGACGTTTATGTGGTAACCACATTCTGAGTACTATGATTAGAATGCAGTTAAAAAAAAATACAGTAAAAGCATCATTTGCTGTGTAATTTAATTTTACAGATGTGGCAACTTAAGTTTTAAATCCACTCTTGTTGGAATAAAGTCACCACTAATCTTAATCGTTTCTCCCGCTAGTGGATTTTACAAAATAAAACAACCCGGAGCTACAAAAAACAAGTTTGACTGAGTTAATGTGCCATCTAGTGGAGCAAGAAACAATTCTTGGCAGCAAATGCAAATGTCTCCTTATAAACTTTATTAATCAATTTTGTATTTACAAATAATCTAACAATTCTGATATGAAACATTGGTATTTACAAAATAGCTCTTGGGGAAAAAAAACAGATTCTGTACAGTACAACCTGATATAAGTTAGTTAAATTACATTGGTAGGTTTCTTAATGACCCACAAAACATTAAATTCAAGCTCTAAACATAAATTTAGTTTTACTACCAAACAGTCGGTTTAACCAACAAAGAGCTTTAAAGGATTATCATTTCATGTCGCCTTAAATTCAAAAGATTTTGGAAATATTTAATTATAACGTTGACATCACACGAATGCCAGAAGGAACAAATTGAAACTGTGTGAACATGTAAACAATCGGACAGACATGGCGTCATTTTAACCCAGAAACCGTTATCTGGTGCGTCACCACCACTTTCTGCACTTGAACATTTAAAAGAACAATATATCTCAAAATGAGACTCTTCAATTCAGAACACCATTTCATCACAATGCAGCGGGACCTCTCCTCACACGGCCGAGCTGCCGTCATGGCCCAGAATGTGGCTGATGTTGTGGGCAGGACGGTTGGGCTGCTTGCCGGAGTCGGCGGCCGAGGTGTTGGAGAGAGATAGCAGGGGAGACATTGGCATGGCCGAACCGTCGGTGGGCATGCCTGTGGCGATCTCGGGGAACAGGGAGGTGAGGCTGAAGTTGGATATGTGGGGGGTGATTCCGGATGAGTTGGCGATGGGCATAGGGGGCATATCTGGGAGCAAGGGGAAGCTGGCCTGGCCAAAGCCCACAGGGCGAGGCGGGGAAAGGATGGAGCCGAAGCGGTTATTGAGTGGAGGAGCGCTGCCCTTGTCGGCACTCGGGCTGGTAAACATTTGGTTGGGAAAGTACTGGAGGGTGACATCGCTGGGCAGGCTGGGGTGAGCAGCCGGAGAATAAGAAGGGTAGAAGGAGGGTAAAGTGTTTTGGGGCTCCACGGGCAGAAGGGACGGCGTACGGGAGGCGTTGGGCTGGCTGACAGGAGGGATGAATGTGGAGTTAGCATTGATGGGAGGTGGAGGGTTCATCCCTCCCTCTGGAATGAAGGGGAAACCAAAGTTTTGTGTTAGGTGCTGGTCAGCAAGCAGGTTGTTGTCGCCAGGAACCTGAGCAGTATCTGCCATGAAGCGGACGATGGTGCTGCGTCGCGCCTCTCCTCCAGACTGTGATCTGCCCAGCAGCACCCCTCCTCCTGGCGGCAGAGGCAGGTGGCCCTCGGGCTCAAAGGGGTTGCTCTGTCTCAGAGTACCCGATCGAGGCCGGTCACCGGGCCTCAGTTTGGTGGGCTGAGTATCTCGGGCGATGTGGCGCGAGTGCTGGCTAACAGCTGTGGGTGGTCTGGAGGGGGCCGAGGAGCGGCCCGGCTCAGAGCTGCTGTGTGGGGTTAGAGGGTGGGGTAGACCTGTGCGTACACCTCCATGCATATTACTGCTGACCTGAGAAATATGGCCCTTGTTGCCCTCTCCAAGCCGCATAGCCGGGGCCTTCTGTGTCTGGCCCACACTGGGGCTGGAGGCCTTGGCCTGTAGGTCTCCTGGAGAGCTTCCAGGCACACAGCTGTACTCCATGCTGACCGGAGGACAGCACTGCACTGCTCGCTGGTGGTTGCTCTGCTCGGGCAGGTGGGGTGAAAGAAGGCTTTGCATGAAACTCTGGTGGCAACTTTCCTGCTCCCGGGGGAGGCCGACTTGTACTCCCTGTGAGCCGGGATGAGCTGCACTGTAGCGGTTACGGCCATCGGGTGGAGGGCCGACACCCATCCTGAACCCGCCTTGCTGCTGCCCCTGAGGGCCCCTCTGGGAGGACGGCACCGACTTGGGGGCCATGTCACTCCCACGAGACACCTGAGCCTCAAAGCCCCCGAGTTGATGCACTCCTCCTCCCATGGTCTTGAACGGCGGACACTCCGAGACCCGCTGAACATCTGCAGATCCTGGATGGTCGGAGGGCAAGCGGTTCTGTGGGTTGTGTGCAATGCTGGCCTTCACTCGTGACGTGTCCAGGTAACCGCGGAGGTCCGGCTGGTCCTGTGTGGCACCGCGGCCCGGCTGAAGGTGGAGACCCATGCGCTGCTGCTGTTCACCGCTGGTGGAACTTTTACCGATGAGCGCCTCCGCAGAGTAGCTGGAAACGCGATGACGTTCCTGCCGCGACGGGGCGCAGGCCAGGTCAGACGACCGGGACACAGGATTGCTGGGAGGAGGGATGAGCTGCTGCTCCAGAGTCCTGGTGCTCATCATCCTCTGCATAGCGTTATGGTCTTGACCAGGCTGAGGGAGACGAAGAAAGTCTTATTAATCATTCAATCAACGTGTGTTCTTGTCAGCTCAAAGACATTTATATATAAAACATCTAATATCTTATTCTGACTGGCAAGATATAAATAATTGTGTTTCACTAGAAATATCTCTGATGCTTTTTCACTGCAAGGCCCAGGAGAGAAAAAAGCTCCTTGGAAAGCATTTTGTTTTTAGGATTCTTTTTCGCCAACCAGTCGCAACAAATACCACCATACCAGTTTTCTAACCCATCTGACTGCACTGACAGAAATGTCCCACCGGAGGTAGTGATTATAAATCATGTAATTATAACTAAATACCTAAAGTAATTACAAATGGCCCTCACAATTAAGTTGTGAACAGCGGATGTCTGATGTGCTTTTAAAGGGTAAATAAAATCTATTTAAAAATCTGTGTTGATTGGTTGGTACCAAAATTACTTGTTTATCAACAAATAATTTAGCACCGACGATGCCAGTTAAATAAAAAGATACAGAGACAAGAACCAGAAGGTGCCACTGTACTTAACTTTCCAGTTTCATACATTGTCATCTATCCATTCTATGTGACACCAACCTTGAGGTGGTCCTGCTGGGCCAGGTGGCTGCTGTGGTGGGCCCTGGATCCCGCTGCCTGGGCTTCACAACTCTTCTCCTGGTGTCTAAAGTGTTGCTGCTGCTGCTGTTGCTGCTGCTGGATCTGCTGCTGTAGATGCTGCTGGTGTCTGGAGTGGGAGCTCTGCTGCTGCTGCTGCAACTGCTGCTGCTGCTGCTGCTGCTGCTGCTGCTGTTGTTGGTGTTGTTGATGCTGCGTCTGTGGCTGCTGTTGATGTGTTTGCTGTTGGTGCTGTTGGGGATGAGCCTGTTGGTGTTGTGTTGGCTGTTGATGCTGTTGTGATTGTTGGTGAGACTGTTGTTGTTGATGCTGCTGTGTGTGGGGTTGATGCTGCGTCTGTTGTTGTTGTTGATGTGAGTGCTGCTGCTGCTGCTGCTGAACTCCAGACTTCTCCAGGTGGTGCTGCTTCTGTTGCAGGCCAGCAGGTGAACCAGTCTGACTGCCTCTGACAAGCCCTCGCTTCTTCTGCACATGCTGCTGCTGTTCCTGCTGCTGCTGCTGCTGAAGCGCCCTCTGGTGTAGTGAGTGGCGCTGTGCGGGGTCGGGCTGCGTCAGGTGGTGTTGCAAATGATACAGGTGGTGTCTCTGTTGGTCTTGCTGCTGCTGTTTCATGTACAGGTTTCCTCCCAGGTGCTGGCCAGGCTGGGTTGCAGCGTGCTGTGGATGACCCTGGGGCAGATGAAGCACACCTGGCTGGTTCTGCTCGAGGGGTCCTTGAGGAGGGCAGTGGCCATCTGTTGGCCGAACTACCGGGCTCATGAAAGAGTTTGTGGGGAAGAGGGGGCCTCCGCTTTCTGAATTAATCCTCGTCATGACAGCGGCGGACGTGGGGGGCAGCTGTCCCACCATCATCTGGCTGTGGTCTGGTGCTTTCAGGTCCATGTGGCTGACAGTGGTAGCTGATGGAGGACAGGGCTTGGGCCGTTTTCCTGTGTTCAGCATCACCTCTTCCTGGGCCTGCCGTTTGGAGATGATCTTCACTTGTCGCTCACCCACACCGACTCCAGCCTGAGCCCTCATTAACGCAGTCTTCAAGGGGGTGTACTCATTCAGTTGGGCTGCACCTGAGCAGGGCGAGAGGGTGTTGTTTGGGGGTTGGGATATGTGGGCTGAGCTCCCCACAGGTGAGGGAACTGAGCCCTGTTGGACAGAGAGACTGGGAGAGCCCGGGTAGGGTTGCTGACTGGAGCTGGGCCTGATCAGGTTGTTGACGCTGAGGCTGGCCACGGTGCCGCTCTGGGATGAGCCCTGAGACTGGACCTGGGGGAGAGACTGGGAGTATGAGATGTTTTGTGGATGTCTGCTTCCAGTGGGCCCCTCCCCAGCCTGTCCTCTGACAGATACCTGCAGAGTAGGTTTAACCGTTACTGTGTCCATGGGTTTAGTCACTTTTGCCTGCTGTCCAGTTGAGACCCTTTCTTTACTGTTGGACACTATTGGGGTTTTTGAGGGCTCCCATGTGGCTGCGGCGGGGTTTGTTGAAGCAGTGTTCCCAGAGCAGCTTCCACTCCGCCTTCCTGGACTGTCTTGTTCCAGCATGGCCAAGGCCAGCATTTCTGCCTGCTCAGATGTGAACGTAAATGTTCCAAAGGAGCCAGATGACGCACTTATAGTGTGGCCCTGGGGAAGCATGGAGGCCACAGAAAACCCTCTGCCTCCCCCAGCCCCTGAAGACATGGGAGAGTCTGTCTGTCTGCTAGATGTCATAGGGTGCTCGATAGTTTGATCGTCAAGGTTAGTGTACACCTGTTGAGATAGGGCAAAATCCTTTCTAGAGGGAGTGCCAGAGGTTGCTGCCACCAAACTGTCTTTCTCTGCTGCTGCTGCTGCTGCTGTGGAGTGTCTCTCTACCTGAGCCTCCCTATCTCTTCGAGGAGGCTGGGGTGGCTTGATTTCAGCAGGATGACAGGGTAATGGGTGGGGAATATTCACGTCCATCTGTTGTGTTGGAGCTCTACTGGTAGTGACCCTTTTCCTAAACTCTGAGCTTGTTGTAGGGGCCGTTACAGAGCTGTGGGCCGCAGAAAAAGTTGCTGCAGGCGATGGGAGCGCCACAGTTGTGGACACCAAGGGTAAAGTGGTGGGCTGTGACTGTGGCAGAGGATCTTGGGTATTAGATGCCTGGTGGGGACGACATATTGAAGTTGGTTGGGTAGCCTGATTTAAAGATACTGGTGCAGTTGCTGGGATAGCTCTAGTGCAGACTGGAGTCAGACATGCGGTAGAAACAGTGGTGGGAGTGTACAGCGTCTCAGTGGCACCTTCAGAAGTCACCACAGATTTGCTCTGTTTAGAAATAGAAGCGGTGGCAGCTGACTTACTTTGTGTTGCGCTAGTTGCTGAACTGGTGGTTTGCTGTTTAACCTCTGGAACTAAGAGTTTGGTTAAAGCCGAGTTGTTGCCAGAAACTATGGATGGTTTACTCTCAATGGCCACAGCTGCACTAACTGTTGGCTTGACCGATGTGGCATTGACAGTTGTAACTGCAGTCGCCACACCACTAGTGTTGCCGAGTACAGCATGAGTCTGAGTTGCACTGACAGAGCTCTGTGGATGGGATTGCCTAAATACAGATGACTCGCTAGATGAACTACACACAATCATTATCTGAGTGTTTTGTGTAGAGGTGATATTCCCCACTGCTTCAGTACCATTTGTCGTTGTGACAGCTGTGGTGCAAGTGGAGGGAATGTCTATGCCTTTTACAGTCGAGGGCTGTAAAACTTCAGATACTGAAACTTTACTTTCTCCTGCAGCACCCACTGGCTTGGCTGGAACAGCAGCGACAGGTGGTGCCTCACGGAGCTCTTTTCTTTTGGCTGGTTTAGTCCTTTTAGCTGTTGCCCTCTTTGTATTCAAAGTTGTGCGAAGCCTCTTTCCTCGACTCTTAGAGGCATTACCCACCTGCCCGGATTTGACTGGGCCGAAAGAAGACACCTGTAGCTGCCGGGCAGGTGGAGCAAGTGCGGTTCCAGGGATGGGTGCGGGAGCAGGAGGCTGCTTCTGCTGGACTACTGATAATGGAGCAGCTGGAAGCTGACCGTTGTTCTGGCTAGAAATGGTAAGTGGAAGGCCCTGAGAGATGCTCTGATTGAGGCTGCTGAGTGCACCTAAACTGTTAAGGGCCACATTGGTAGTTGGTTCCTCAGTGGTGGTGGGCTGGACCAGCTGGAGTGTACTCTGGCCCGCATGGGAGCTGGATTTGTCAGAGGTCTTTATGGGCTGCAAAGCAAACACCTGGCCATTCACAGTGATAGTCTGTGGGGTTGGAGGAACCGGTGGGGAAGAGGAGGCCTGTGTGACCTGAAGGGGATGGTTCACATGGGGCTGAACAGGGCGTGGGAGAATGTGCACCAGCTGCTTTCCCCCAACACTCTGTAAGGAAGTGGCAGATGTTGAACTACTGCTTGTGGATATCTGAGTGGACACAACCGGTACTGCAGTGGGCACAGCAGCAGGCACCATGCCAACCTGAGGATTCTGAGGGGCAGGTGCAACCTGATTGGGTGCCTGGATGATTACGATATGCTGACATGGTGGCTGATTTGTTATTTCCTCCCTTACAATTGACTGGTTTGGGCAAGAACTGGCCTGCTGCAGGATGACCACACTTGGGTTGTTAGTGTTCTGTTGGGCTGTTACACCCGAGGCTGTCCCTCCAGTTGAGTTGACCTGCAGCACCTGCATGGTCTGAAGGAGGGGCAGCACAGTGGCCTGTGGCTGAGGGATGAGGGCGGTCGGATGATGGGGAACCAATGACGCTGCTTTAAGTACAGCAGACTGGGGCTGCGACGGCAGGGCGGCAGAGTGGGCCACCACACCTGGCTGGGGTACTATGGCTGACTGGGAGAGAACAGCACACTGTGGTTGGGGGGCTAGAACAGGCTGGGGCTTTGCCTGGTTCAGGATTGCTGGCCGCAGCTGGGGTGATCTCTGAAAGGGCTGTGCTTGAATGTGGGCTGTAATGGGGGCTTGCTGTACAGGCACATGTGGTTGCATCTGTATTTGAATGGGGTGAACAGAGGCTTTGTTGCCCATTGGACACACGGTCACCTGCTGGACAGTCTGGGTGGTGTTGATGACCTCTTGGGCGGGGAGACTGTGGCAGACTGGCTGCACTGTGTTTCCCGCCATCTGCAGCGTTGTCCAGGTCGTCTGTGTGCTGCCCGTCGCCCCAGCCCTAAGAAGGGCATGGCTGTTGGGGATAGCAGTGTAACTTACAGTCCTCATGGCAGTGTCCTGTGTGGCCCAAGAGCAAACCTCTGAGGTTGCTGCTCTGGATGTGGCTATAGCCTGGGCGAGTGTGGTCAGATTGGACACCGGCTGCGCAGGGCTTTCAGTATGGAGCTGTGGCGCTGAAGTGGCTGCTATGCTGAAGGTCGGGACTGGGGCGGTAGACTGTGGTTGTTGGGGAAGGACTGTGGTGGCTGCTGGGATCTGGAGGGTGATGTACGACACAGAGGGTGGCAGAGTGGGGGCTGCAGCCGGTGTCTCGACCACACACTGCTCTATCATTCTCAGGCCCGTCGTAGATTGGTTAGGTGTGGCAGTCGACCCAGGGAGAAGTGTAGGGGTGGAAGAAGAGGTGTTAACTTGCAACAGGGCTCCATTAACTCTCAACCTGGCATTGACCTCAGAAGTTGGCTGAAGAATTAATGTTTCAGAAGGCGGTTTTGCTGGGCTAGTCTCCTTCCCTGCTGGGCACTTTACAATGCCATTGGAGTTGACGACAATCTCTTTTGGGAGTTGGTGAGTGGGGGTCACCTTTGCCACCTTGGTGCAACGCTGGGGGCCCTTCCAGTGAATTGTGGGGTCTTCTAGGATGTTAATATCATGAGCTTTAAGGAGCTCGATGTACTGAGCACTCTCCCTCCTCAGCTCCTCCGTCTGACGCCGCAGCCGACGGATCTCCTCAGCTGCACACAGACCAAGCACACATACTCATATGTTAATAATTCTAAATGCACATACTGTATGGTCCCACTTTCATGACTATTGTAAAAACAAGGTGTACAATTATTAAACTTCACCTTGGACTTGATCTCCTCCTTCCAGAAGCAATGTGTCATTTTGTTTCTTCAGTTCAGTAATGTAACGAAAGGCCTGATCCAAGATCATGTTCTTACTCTATAGATGAGGGGATATTAAAATATAACACAGTTAGCTGGCCTGTGCAGACACCATAACATTGTACTGCAAAACAGTGATGCCAGACTGTCTCTTACCTGTTTTAGGGCGTTGGAACAGGGGAGAAGATTACCAATGCGGTTGATCCCGGCATTAATCTTCTCTTTTCTGTGTCTCTCAACTATATAGAGAAGAGACAACACTTTAATGTCCAGTTATACTTATAGTGACCACCACCAGTTAAAGAAACCATTCACTAAGCAGCAAGGAACAGAAGCATAACAGGAGAAATGATTTCACCTGCATTGTGAGATTCTTTGTTTTTCTTCTTTCTGCAAAACAAAACATTATTCCAATTATGTAAATATGTATCCAAGTGCCTCAACTGATAGTTTGGTTACAATAACAACAGACAGCAGTTAACTCAAACATCCTTACTTGGGTTTACGACCAGGTGTCTGAGTTTCAGTCATCTCTGGCATTCTGTCCTAACAGTCTGATGAGGTACCAGTCAACGCATTTAACAGTTGGACCTTAAATCCCTCCCGTGACCGTCCTGCAATGAACAGAGGATGCATTTTGAATAAGTGTGATGACACCAGACTGTCTAACACCAAAGAAAATCATCCAGATGCATGTATCCAGCAGTAATGTCGTCGTGGATATAAGACACTGTTAAACCACATTGAGCTTCTCACGTTACTACTACTAGATGCTAACAAGCTGGTGTTGATTAACCTAGCTCTACAGCTAACCTAAACTAATTTACCTGCTATTACAGCATTATTACAGCATGTTTAATTGCAAACAGTTGTGAGTCCTGGTTTATGTTGTTGACAGCAAGCGAAACACTGATTACTATCCCGTCACTTAACCAGCAAGAGACTAGCAACATGAGCAATTACCTATTAAGCTATCTTTCTGTTAGCTAACTGGCTAATAGCTAGCTTACTATACCGTTACCGACGTAATCATTAAGCAAACTACTGGCGTATTTCCCTGTTGATAAAAGGCTGCTAATGGCTGGTAGTTTCCACTAACCTCAAGTCTCAGCATTTTTGAGACTGTCTGTCGCTGAGAGTACTTTGAGATTGAAGGCTAACTGTTGGCTAGCTAAGCATTAAACTCAACTCATTTCTCAAAACAATCTAGCTACACCTAGCCTAGTGCAGAAGGGCGGGTCCTCGAGGAGCTGACAGCCAATGGTATTCCAGATGTGGGAGTTTTCAGCCAATCATGACGGGCACCCAGGGATATATTTGTTGTACTAGGCAGTATGTTTTTAAATTAAGTTTCAACCGTAATTTTGTGCATTTAGCTAATAATTCAACAGAATATAGAATAAGACAATTAGTAAAACATTTACTGCAAATAGTAATTCCTTTATTTCGACATTAAAAAGTCTTACAATATAGAGCTCCAGAAAAGATAAAATTCTTCAAAGAAAGGGAAAACATGCTTATACTACAGTGGAGAAGACAACTCTCCTTGCATGCAGAGGGAACAGAGCTTCCTCTGGGTAAAACACTGTTCAAGAGACCATACCAAAAACTGGCAAACTATCAGACGAGCTTCAAAACACAATGGTGTGTCTAACAGAAGCTGACTGAGGCAGGTAGTTATAGACCAATTCTGAAAGGTGGCTACAAAAAGGTGCCAAAGGTGTTTCAGGTAAGATGTCTCAAAACACATCCATGTGTTTAGAGACATATCCTCACACAACGTCATTATACTACTGAAAATAATGCCCAAATCCAATCTCAAACATTCTAATTCAAACATCAAGACTATGTGGAGTGCACTTCTCAGAAACACATTCAATACAATACTTAGTTTGTTTCTCTTACTTTAATATTTTCACTCTTAGTAGTAAACCCAGGAGAACCTCTGAACCATTTGCAATTTTAAATGTAAAAAATAAAAATTACAGTTTGAAGGGGAATTAAATTAACAGGCTGGAAAATAAAGTTATGAGCAGTGACAACGTCTTCCCACCACCTCAAAACCGGTCAGCCTTCTTTACACCCGAACCGAGGGGACACATTTCAGCTCTCCCCCTCTGGTCATGACATATCAACAAGCTGGTCAGACTCATTTCCCATAATTCCCAAGGTTCAGGTGGTGAGGGAATAGAGTTGTGACGGTTCCACGTAACAGCTCAAAGCGTCACTCCAAGCTGACCAGCTGGTACTTGTGTGTCAGTGATGGTCTTTCAAACACTTTTACAGCTTCTAACCAACTGTTTTCTTTTGCTCAACAGTAAAGATTTGTCCCCATTAGCTTTATAACCGCATAAAAACAACTCGAACACAAACAGTATGATTTGCAAACACCACACCCTCCACCATAACCAAGTCTAAAATTGTTGGCATCTTTGTCAATCGAAGCAATTTTGAATACTGAGCTTTTTGTCGTTGTCAATTATCTGTATGAGGAGACGGAGCAATAAAATATGCAAAAATCAGAGGGGACCCCTTTGCAAAATAAATGCAGCATTTTTTTGTAATTTAAATTTGTTTTCTCTTTTAGCGTCCTTTGAAGAAAGTGTTGAATTGTGTCGACCCTGGGGCATTTGTCACAGTTCTGTTTCTGTGGAGCACAACTGTGCTCTTTCCAAACGCTGTGCCCCTACTCTGCCTTCTGAAGCTCTCCGGTGGGCAGTGCACATGGGCTGCGCAGACTCTTCTGCAACACATGGGCGTCTGCGGGCTCTATCCTCTTGTAGTAATTCTTTTTTGTTTCGATGATCTCAAAGCCAAACTTCTGGTAAAAGTGAATGGCTGACTCATTGCTGATCTGCACATGACTGTGGAGAGGGAAAGGAGAAATGTAGTTAGTGGTAGAACAGTTTGATGAATTGCTCAACAAGTAACAATGGAATGAAACTATTCGTTTTTGCTACAGCTGAAAGAATCAGTCAATTCAATCAGTTTCCATAAAAAAAAGATCAAATGTACACTGAAATTATGTGCTAATTAAATCCACTAAAGCTACAATGGCATCTCCTCATACACCTTCTGCAATTAAGACACTCACAGGTAAATGTTGTCAAAAGTGCCATCCTTCTCACAGATGTTTAGCACATGATTCAGCATCTTTGTACCTGCAGAGACAAAAGCGACAAAGGCACAGTTGGAGAAACAAAACACAAGATCACACGGTGCACTGCAGCGTCTTTTAGAAATGCAGAGCTCCTTACCTATTCCAAGTCTACGGTAGGGTGCTAGACAGCCCAGCGTCATGATGTACAGTCTCTTCTGGTTCTGAGAGTGGTCCACTCTGCAGCACACAGCTCCCACTGCAATGTCATTGAAGTATGCTGCAAGAGAAAGAGGACTAAAACGTCACCGACAGACAGGGGATCCGTAGTTCCTTCTAACTGAAGAACTTTTGTCTACGGACCCAAGCAGTTACTTCCCCTTCTAGTATCTCACTGTTACCAAAAATGTATTAGCTTCATGCTTTAAAAGAAAATGTTTTGATGGTATTTGAGGGTAAGCTACATGAGCAATGTTTCTTACCTAGCTTCGCAAGCTCTCCAACTTCCAGAACATCTTTGTAAAACTTATCGTTGTAGCTGACAGGGAAGATGACCTGGTTCAGACGTTTCAGTTGCTTTATGTTGTGGGGCGTAACATCCCCCAGCTCGATCCGGCTACTGGAACAAGAGCAAAACGGTCAACTGGCTGGCAACAAGTACACTTTAGTGACTCAAATACAACTAGTAGCTTTAAGATCTAGCTTAATACTGTTTAGTGCTTGAAATTTGTCGAAACCAATTACTTAAATGCAGTTGCTTTATTGACAAAACAAAATTAATGCTAAATCAGAAACGATTAATCGATTACTTTACTCAATCAACAGAAAATTAGGTCATTTAGATCATTATTCAAACAAACTGCTGAACATTATCGGGCTAATCATAAAGCTGAAGCCCCTGGAAGAAATTAATCCCTAAAAGTAAAATCAAATGACCAAACCATATGTAGTGGAAGTTGTTCCACTGATATACTTGTCACAGATTACTCCAGGTGACAGACACAATCCACCTAAATCACTCTTTCACATAAACACAAATACCTGAAGCGAATGATTGTGATATCCATGCTTCATATTTACTGAGAAATGAATAAGGCACCTGCTAAAATCAAGAGACCAGATAACCTGAGGATGTGTTTTAGTGTCATAATGAGTGACACAAACAACTCTCTCCAGTTTGTACGATTGATGGGTTCACTGTAGTATTTATAGGAGACAACACATCCAAAAAACAGCTGTTGGTCACGTGTCCTGTTCATCAAGATGTGGAAACACACTCTGAAGTTGAATGTAACGTTATCGCGGTAACTGACACAGGGTTGACCGGCATTAGGTTACTGTGCCAGAAACTTTGTCAACTGACTTGGCTTCGATACCACAACTGAAGTTCAGTTGAGCCGACTGAGAAGTGAATTATCTCAGATCCAGGGTCTGTTTAGCTTCAACTTAGCAAAGTGAGGTTTCCTGACTCAGCTTCCCAGTAGCAGCTAACGTTAGATACCAAGTTAGTTGTGAGTGACCACTAGCTAAAATAACCGACAAACGGCTGACGTTAACGAGCACATCAGTGACTGAACGGTTTCGGTAACAGTGCTGTCGTTCGTAGTTTAAATAAAAGTAGCTTAGCAAGCTAGCTAGCCTCTCCTCCCCGCCTCCCCTTGAAGAAAAAAAGACATGAAAAACTTTACTCGTGCTAAGCTACTTATCCGTGACTCAAAAGCTTACACTCACCCTTTCATTGTAAACAGATTATATCCCTTATTTTCGATGAGGCTGAACTTTAGAGTAGTTTTGGGTAAAAAAGGAGGAATTTTGACTGAGTTAGGGTCGGGGATGGCTCCCGTTTTACCCTCCACATGTAGCTAGTTGCGGTGGTTGCTGTTAGCTTAGCCGCCGCACTCCTTCCACGACTGTGTGGAGACTGTCAACCCTGACCCCCGCATGCGCACAAGCACGGCTGCATATTGAAGTGGGTGTTTTATATTCCTGAGTTTGGTCTCTCAGGATGTCTTTTGCCCGTCAGGCAAGAGGTTGACAGTATATTAAAACAGCCATGTAGAATACTTTGGATAATGCTTCATTTGTCTTGTACAATAATAATATTCTTGTCGTTAAATTTGAGAAGAGAAGGTCAGCGAGGGGTCATGGTTGGGATTATGTTTTAAGAATATAATCTCAAACAAAGTGGGATTGGTGGATTTGTCGTAAACCTGAGCGGAAGCACAGCCTCTAAGGCTAACATCAGAGCAATATATGTACATTGTATGAATACAACTTTCATTTTGGAGCTATTTGTACTTCATTTATTTAAAAAAGTAAATGCTTATGAATACACTGTCACAAAAACAAAATTAAAGACATAAACCTTGCCTCCTACTTTGCCACACATACCACACCACTTTAGAGAGATATCAATAAATATAATTCTTAAATATAGAACATTTATTTCCTTTAACATCGCCACAATTTAGTTTGTGTTGTAAGAGAGAGACATATTATTATATACAGTCAATGAGAGTGACTTAAATTTGGAGTAAATATCGTAAATAATAAATCACAGTAATTTGTGACGGAGCCTCCATTTTGGCTCAAATAATAATATATGCTTTATATATTTTGGAAAGGTTGTCATTTTCCCGGATTAGAGCCAGGTTGTACACTAAACTACGGATGGTCTCATAAACAGAGTATTTTGACATAATTTATACGGGCGAAAAAAAGGTCAACAGTATTGTAGCTCATGCTTTGATCGATCACCAATGTCCACCAATTGTAAACGCTTTACGGCAGCTCACGGGGCGGATCCAAAATGGCGGCAGTTGCAGTCCGCTCAGCAGTAAAACCGAGCAGCGAGTGAATGAAGTCAGCTGATCTCAGTCCGCTGTCACGCACCGCAGCACCCGTCGTTTCTCTCTCGAGGCAAGACAGTGAACCACCACTTCACAACCAGACGGTAACTATTACATTTTATTCTTCAGCCACGTTCTCTAAATTATAAACTTACATTGGGCTTTGTTGTGTGTGCATAATGACATGATTTAGCTACACTGTTGCGACAAAACGGAAGAGCCAGCATTTTTCATCCAGGTCGAGAGACCAGTATTGCTGTCGTTTTCATAACATCTGAAGCTGTCTGACGTTGCTTGCAGTGTGAAGACAAGGTGGGATTGATTTTAAATGTCAGATATGTATTTATTCTTAATGTAACCGCCTGATTTTAGACTGTCCTTGCTGTGTCAGGCTACTGTTTCGAGGAAAGCTGTCAAGCTGAATCTACAAAGCATACTGTAACGGTATACCATATACAGGCCTCCAGGTCATTGATATGCAATCAAATCTGTATCATTATTAGTAGATTAAACAATCAATTTTAGCTGAGTTCCATGTGATAAGCTACCTGCATTCAATGTTTTTTTAATAAACACCAGTGTGTCAGGATGTTGTGCGTGGTCATCTCACATAGATGTTACATTTCTGACCCTATTTTGCACAGACAGCAATACCTACATAGACATGCCTTTTCTCAGTGTTGTCAACCTGCTTTTTTTTGTAGCTCAAATATCAAATAATGAAGAAATAAAAGTCATAAATTACAGGCAAAAAATGTACAGTAAACTTGTCTCTGTCTAGATTAGAAAGAGTTTGTTGACCATTCCTACCTCTCTTTACTATCCAGCATAAGTTAGCCAACATAACATCTAAGATCAGCAGTAAAAATAATTAAGTGTGAATTGTCTTTAATATGCCAATGTTTCCGTGGAGGATTGTAGTCAGAGGGGGAAATGTCTCCAGTATATAATTTGTACTTCCCAGTTTTGCACCATGGGAGTTTTCCACTTCCTTAAAGAGACTCATACAGACCAGACCAGCTAGTCATGTGCCGGATCATATGATCAAGTGTGATGTCTGTTGTTGTTGTTGTTGTTGTTGTTGTTGTTGTAAGGATTATTACAAGATGATGTGACTTTAACTGCTTGTAACAAATAATGTTATTATTATACAACTTTATTATACAACTTGTAAATCTAGTTTGATTTGTAGAATTGAAACTAATCAAGCAGGTAGATAGTTGTCTGTGATTGAATCATAAGGACAATAGACATTACCTTCCCACTGTATTCTACTCATTGGAGGCTCTCACAATAACCTCACAGAATTAACAATTGTAAGATAGATCATTTTGTATGTTTTGTTTGTCCATTTTCTTTCCTTTTAAAAATGGTGTGCTAAAAGAACGAAGTGAAGCCTTCTTTCGGTCTCATTCTTGTAATTCCTACAATCGACCCGTTGGTGGAGCTGCTAAATTCCTGCACAGATGGGTTGAGCAGCCGGGCATCAACAGGAAGGTCTGTGCATCAGTGGGAAGGACAAGAAAAGGTTATGGATGTAGAGCACTGTATGTGTGATATGACTGTCGGATAGAGAAGGAAAAATACAACATGTAGGAAAGTATGAGACTGGATCTGCTGTGTTTTATTATGCACTCAGTGTATTGCAGATCAGAGCATCTGCAGTCGGCTCTCTGTGGGGTTGGGTCTGTGTCACGACTGATGACGGCTTGTGTTTGTGCAGCTCCTGCATGTCGCTGCAGTTAGCCAGGACAGTATGCAGCAGATATGTGATGTGAAAAAGGACCAAAAATAGGAAAAAAA